TATCGTACAATTAATAATTACATTTAAGATTATATAACTCGGAACGGACAAGTAATTGAAATTAGTCGTATTGAAAAGCCAGTGTCCTTTTATTACTAAAATTCCCTCCCCAAAAACTCCAATGAAGATCATCTAACACACTTCTGACATGTGATTTCGACAGTACTACTTGGCAGGCTACATGTACTCCATTGGGACTCTCCCACTTCCGATACAGTAGACCATCGTGAAGATACAAGGAGTCCCACTGAGCCCAGTACCCTTTAATAGCTCCACTGTATTTGGCTATCTCTTGCCAAGTAGGTGTGATTTTATTTTGATCCATTCTCAGACAACCTTCAAGTCATTGTCTTTCTTCTGTCCCTTTCTCAGGCTTTTAAGGATGATTTATTCTTCGTTGTCTTTGGACTGATATTGGTTGCCCGAAGAATAACTTTATCAATCGGTTTTTCTCGTTCTTCGAGCCTCTTACTGTACCGGTATTGTCGTTCAAAACAGGATTGCAAGAGAGAATGTCTGCATTGCTATGGAGACGACCTCTTCGATACTCTACTTCCTGGTTATTACTAGAAAGCCGGCTCGGTGTGGGTGATTGGCTTCTTTGGGACGCATAGGTGCTGTGATTATTTATCGTTGAACTTCGTGACGGACTTCGGAAGATTGACCTATGTGACCTTCCGGCCGCACTCCCTGATTCTTGATTTATAGAACGAGCCCTGCTTCTACAGGTTCTTTGAAGCTTGCCGATTCTTTTGCAATAGAAGCATATCCTGCTTCCATTTCGTTGTATATTTTGCAGGATATTCAAGATTTGTGAGAGGGTAGCCTCCTCACTTTCCTGAAATTTTATTTTTTTGACTCTTTCGAGCAGATCAGGAAAGGAGTTTTACCGCTTCATATTCCTGGGCTGCAATCAGTTTCTCCCTCAGCGTCTTGTGGTGTTGTAGACAAAGGGCTTGCTGCATTTCCACATCTTGTAGTCCATCAATTATTGCCTGTATTTCGATTTGGTCTTGGAAATCTTTCAGCGCCTGTGGATAAGCCAGATGAATCAATCTTCTTATGTCGGCCTCGCATTCCTGTAGACACTCATTATGTTTCTGACTACGAACCTTTAGCTGGCTTTGGAATACCCGTTTAAAATGCTGCTTGCCATATCTTGTCTCCGAAGCTTGGACGAGAGATGAATAACTGGGTTCTTCTTGGGGAAGTTACTGTAAAATGGTTGTTGCCTGTCCTCGCAGCGACACTATTAATGAAGCCGCCATCTCTTTTTCAGCGCAGCCGATACGTTTCCCATGTTGTCTAACTGTCAAACGTTGGTGGCTTAATGGTCTTGCTAGTATGGCTTTGTGAAACTAGGTTTTGGATATGGCTTGGTTCGGTTATAGATGAGGACGAGGTAGTGTTTGCAGTTTCTCTATTATTTACCAAAGCTAGGCTACGAATTCTTATTTCTAACTCAACTAGTTCAGTTCTAATTTGCCTTTCTAACTCTACTCTAGCCTTTTCCTGTTGTTTTAAATTCTCTCTTTGTTGTTCTAAATTAGTTTTTAAATGCTCTTGCTGCGGTTATAAATTAGCAACTTACCTTTTAAATGCTCTTGTTGTTGCTCTAAAAGATCTGCTCTAATTTTAAGCCGACCAACCTCTTGCTTAAAGGTTTTCTGGATTTGTAGCAAAGCATTCATAATTTCTACCTCAGTTTTCCTACGCCTCTCCTTTTCCTCCTCTTCTTTCTTCATACGCCTTTTCTTTTTCTCCTCTTATTCCTTCCTACGCCTTTCCTTTACCTCATTTTCCTCATCTTCTTCCATACGGCTCCTTTCTTTTTCCTTTTTCATCTTTAAAAACCATGCTGGTGGGCCTAAGTATCCATATCTGTTTCGTACTCAGCTGATCTAGTGTTTGCCATGAACTTTTATTTTGTATCCCACCGCTGTCACCAATGTCACACTAGTTTTTGGTATCTTAATTTATTTCAACTCATCTTTTACAATAACTTTAAAACTGATAATAATATATTATTCTCTGAATTAACGTTGACATTTTCATATTTAGGGATAGAGACGTAGATAAATATATAAAAATGGTTTGTGAATACGAATGAATAAGCGTAGAGAATTAGAATCCCTTTTAAATGAGGTATCGCAAGCCAAACACTTCCATATAAATTAAGGAGGCATAAGACATATTATCAAATGATGTTAAATCGTAATTTTTTAGTTAGGTATAACTTATCAGTCAATAATTTATGTTACGTACGTCCATGAGAAAAAATTAAACCATTTGCGGTTAAGACCGCGAATTCATTTGCATCGTTATTACTACAAGTCAAAAAGATTTGTGTGTCACATATTTGTACTATAATTATATACTTTTACAATTAAGTTGTACTTGAAACAATTAGACTGTTTAATTAGCAAATCAACGGCATCTGCTTGTTTTTTTATTGCTCTTAATTAGACTGAGAAACTGAGAAAGTGTTTTTTATTGTGTTGTGTGTGTTGTGCTAGATTGGGCGTCATGGTAATGCGGAAATTGATGTACACTTACAAGTATAATTACATAGATTTATCTTGGAGAGTGTTTAGTGCGTGTTTAAGCAGTATATATCTTAAATTATAGTCTGCTTATCTTCATTTACATACTATATTAGTTTAGTATGTTTACTGTTAAGCTTGCTCTTGGTAGGTTGATGAAACAGTATTAACTCTGATATTATTTAACAAAATTTATATCCATTTGGAGGCAATAAAACTAATCAATATGGCCATCGCACAGTGGGGTATTTCACACTAATTTTTGATCGAAAAGATTTTCAGTTAAATCTTTATAAACTCTCAAGGTATTGATGGAAATTATGACATTTAGGTACCAGTAAAAAAGTAGGCAGGTTTAATAAATTTAAAGAATAAGCTGATAGCATCTTGAATAACATTGAACAACAAATAATTTACTATTTAAATTGTAAAAAAATAGGTATTGCTTTCAATACTTACAACTTCAATATTATATAACAAAAAAAATAATTACAATAACGGAAAAGCGATGTCAAGAATAAAATGTTATGTTGTTGAACTACTGTTTTAATTAAACAGATTTTCACTTTGTGAAATTATTTAGAACCTGAGAAAGATATGTCTGACTCTAAATTAAAATTTTTAAAGCACTTAGAAATGTCTAACTGTACTGGTTTTTTTTTGGAATTTTGAGTAAATATTGACTCTCTATAGAAAACTTCCTAAATACCTTTGGTGTCAATTATCTAAGAGTAGTAATTTGGAGAGTCTGAAGAGATAAAAGGGATGAACAGTTGATTAAGAGTATCTTTGTTGATAGAAATATTACAAATATTAATAGAATAATAAATAAAAAACCATAATGCAACATTATTAATCACTTTTGCTATCTTAATTGGCACTTTAAGATAATGTATGTAATTTTAAAAGAAAAAGAGACAAAGAGGTAGAAAAATGAAGTAGAAGTCACGATAGTATAATTACGTTAGACAAATGATCAATAATTTATGTAAGAAACATAAAAACATTCATGTCTAATCTAAAGTGTGAATCTACGCCCGATAAATGTATTGAAACCATTATTGTAATAAGAGTTGTATAAACGTATTATTATTTTAATTAAAATTTATTAATTTTTGTTTACTTGAAACTATCTGCCAGTGCAACTTTTTCTAAATATTATTAAGTATATTGTCTTTTCTAGACTTTTTTATTTTTATTGAGAGATACATATTTAGTTCCTTATTCTCGAAAAGCTTAAAATAGGATACATTGAACTTTCTAATTTACAGTGGTCTTGTACATACACACGAAAATAGTCTTACCAAATTTCAACATTGACTAAAAATGTATAACAGGGTGGCTCATGTTACTGAAGTAAAATTAAATATTAAATTAAATTAATTTTTTAATTTACATTATTATTTAAAGTTATAAAAATATATTGCTGTCACTGTAGTGTCAACGCTATCTAATCTCAGCGAAAAGAAAAAAAATTAATAAAATATGTGGTACGAAGTCAGCCACACTTTTTGAAGTTTTGACTTAAGGTTAACGTGATGTTAGATTTATTGATATATTTATTTATTGTTGTATTATGTTGTTATCGATACTAGTTTTAAAGCACCCGGTGTATTAAAAAAGATATAATGTCACAGTGACTAATGAGTTTGGTAATTTTTTGAATAAAAAGTCATTCTATCAGACAACATTTTTATTAAAAATAATCTGCTAAATCAACAAAACTAACAGGTTATGAGCCCAGGACACCTATAACCAGCAGAAGAGACGGCGTAAGAAAAAATCAGAATTGGACGAGACGAAATCAGATGTAAAGTAGGTGTACCTAGTATATAGTATAGATCAAATATACACTTTCAAACTTTCAAACTTTCAAATGCGGAGGCTGATTTATTTGAAGTTTTTAGCAACTTTTAAATAAAATACTGTAGTTTTAAGATTATTATTCGGATATCTAAAAGTAATTTAGTACTCGCCGGATATACAGGGGGGAAAAGAAAACAATTTTTTCCTCTACTTTTGACACACCATGTAGGTTCATTCTGCTAGTAGATCTGCACACAGTTAACTTTATCAAGAAGACCGATTTGTTTCCAACACTTTGTTTTTTTATTTACCCCGATATCTTAATTTGTTTGTGAAATGTGACGGTTTAAATAAAATGCTACATTTTAGAAACGGTCATAATTTAAATGACGGTAGAAAATAAGTAGAGTGCTGTGGCCAACTCACAATATGACAACTGTCAAATATACGTTACTTGGCAATTGCAGTTTAATTATCAGCACACCAAATATTCATCATCAGCATAATATCATGGTTTTAACGCCTACCGATGTAGCACGAGCAGTTGCTCTGGTACAAGACGGTAGGTCTCAGTATTATGCTTCTATTCAAAAGCGTACAGAATATGAAAAACTGATGAAATTCTTATAAGCCGTGATGTTAAATTTGAAGAAGACATTTTTCCATTTAAAGCTAAGCCAAGCTGCAAAACAAGTAAGAAAAATACAACTGATATTGATAAAGACGTCATAAACGACGAAATTGAAGAAGAAGAAGAAGAAGAAGAAGAAGAAGAAGAAGAAGCAGAAGAAAAGTACGATGGTATCATTGAAAATAGAGACAAAGAACTGCGAAGCAGATCAGGACGATTATTAAAAAAGCCGAATTGGTTAAGTTATTTGGTGACATATAAAGACGATGAAGATCCACAGGTAGTAAGTTTATGCATAAAAGAAGAAACTTTGGAAGATAAGTATAAAAATCCCCTGACTTTTAGTGAAGCTTTTTATGGCAAAGACAAAATATTTTGGAAGAAAGCCATGGTTGATAAATTTGAAAATTTAATAATAAATGAAACCTGTACATTTGATAAACCGCCAATGTTCAGAAAAGTTATAAAATCCAAATGGGTTTTTAAAACTAAATACAATGCAGATGGGAAACTGGAGAGATTCAAAGCTAGATTAGTTGCTTTAGGAAATACTCAAATACCAGGCATTAATTTCGAAGAAACATACGCGCCGCTTGTCTAAAAGAAAACTTTAATATTTTTATTTGCCATGAGTTCTGAAATGAAATGGTCAATTCATCACATTGATATAACTGCTGCGTACTTGGCAGCAGATTTAAAAGACGGTTATTATGGATTATATGAAGATTTGAAAGAAAAGTTTCCGAAATTATTAGCAAAAGATGAAATCTGTAAAAAAGGTTTAACATGTAAACTAAATAAAAGCTTGTACGGATCACATCAGTCTGGTTTAATGTGGAATAAGACTAGACGAATTTATTAAAAGTCAAGTATATATGAGAAATATATCTGATCCTTGTGTATACTATGATGGTAACAGGGATACGATTACATCGATTTATGTAGACGTCATTCTTTTATTTGAGGAACGTACTGAAATAGAGAAAATGAAGAATCAGTTTAAAACACGATTTGACACTAAAGACCTAGGAGGTATGAAAAATGTTTTATCAATTAGTGTAAACAAAGATAATGACAGGATAATGTTAAATCAAAACAAATATTCAGTTATTCTCCAAAAACAACACCTTATTTTTAGGCTATTTTTAGGCTCTTAAAATATAAAACTTTTCGAAAAAATTGTTATTTTTAAAAAATACTCATGCTAGCTTCGAACGAAGCCAGCAGAGCACCCTCAGGTTTTTAAATTTTTTTTTCAAAACAACCAAACCAAATTTTTAGGCTAGTTTTAGGTATAAGTAGTTTTCAAAAACAAAAATGAATAAACAGCAATTTTTTAATATATAATAAATATTTCAAGAGTCTAGAAATGTGTTATAATTCTTTTTAGAAAAAAAGGTTTAAAACAGCGAGGTGCTCTGTTGGATTCATTAGAAGCTAGCACATCACCCGGTATTTTTTAAAAATACAAATTTTTTTCTAAAAGTTTTATAATATGTATGTTCCAACACGCGCGAAAACCATAATACTACCGTACAAATCATGCGTTGTATACAATTTTTGGGTAGAGCGCGTGTTGGAACAAATCTAATTTATCAAGAACCTAAGAGTAGCTTAAAAATATGCCAATTAAATGTAGGATACATTTAACAGTCATTCTTTCATTTAAATTAATTCCTCCCATGCAGCAGTTGTATTTGTTTACAATATTTGGTCTTGGAATTACCAGCGTTTACACTGGTCTTGAGGTTCAACTTGTAAGCCTATAGAGGCAAGCAGAACATTTTTCATATCAACCGAAAGTTTACCATCGGCTCTAACCAGTGGCGTACCCAGGATTCATTGCTGGGGGGGGGGCAATATGGTAAAGGTCAAGTACAGCCCCCGCGCAGGGGCCGCCGGAGGCAGAAAATTTTGGGTTTGCCACCCCCAATTTTTACTCAGAAGTCTTAAAATCGTTAAAAAATCACGCCTTCGTCACCCTCTTGCCAAAAGTCGTTAAGATTTAAAAAAAAACACGCCTTTTTTCCAAAATTCTCCCCTCCGCTCGCTCCGGTCCTGAGCTCACCGAAACATTTTTCTTTTATTAATTTAAAAACTACACAAACAAAACAAAAAATACATATAGCGAAACAGGCACAAGGGCTTAAGCAAAAAAATAAATTATTCTAAAGTAACAAAAACAAATAATTCTTGAAAAAACAAAAAAAAAGTCAAACTTCAATACTACTACTAAAATTACTAAAAATAGGTACTTTAATTATATTTTATTAATAAATTAATGTATTTTTTCATGATAAAATAAAACCTAATTTTTTATTGGTTTTCTTGGGGGGCAATTTTTTCAATTTTTCATGATAAAATAAAACACAATTTTTTCTGGCTTTTCTAGGGAGGGCAATTGCCCCCTTTGTCCCCCCTGAGTACGCCACTGGCTCTAACAGACATTTCAGAGGAGCCTCACCCAAGCCTTGCCATTGTCTTTTCATATGTTAACTGCACACTTCTAGGAATTCTTGACTTTATTATCGTACCAGTGACGGTGATCTTTTTCTCATACATGTGTTCCAGGAGGGGTATTGTAGTGAAATATCTGTCAATGAAAATATGTGTACCTTTTTTTAAGGTTTCAGATAATCTGATGACGGTTGACGGACCAATCCCTAGGATTTTTAATTTTTCAAACAAAAATGTATCTATTCCTTGATAAATTTCAAAGTCGAGTACTAGTCCACCAGGGACAGCACAGACAAAATATTCTAGTTCCTCCAATCTGCAAACGCCGGTGAAAGGAATCATTTGTTACTCGACAGTGACCTCTGCAAGAGTTGGTGACATCAAACATCCTTTTCGGTTCCGATTAATTTGAGGGCGAGTCTTGTACAAACGGTCAGACGATTTTTCTTGTAGTGCTATCGACAAAAACTTTTACTTTAGTCCTGATTAAAAAAAAAACTATCCATCCAGCAACAGCTCACGTGGCATTTTTTTGCGCTTCTATTGGTTAATCGGTCGTTAGTCATTTAGACGACGCGCAAATATTTTTTGTCAGAGTCGAATTCAGTTCAATTTGGATAATTATAAACGGCGTTTTGGTAGCATTCACCGTGTTGGTTAGTTTGGACATTTTGTATGTTTGATTGATTATAATTCATTATATTATAGTTTAGATATACATTGTGTTATTTATTTATTTATTTGTTTTTGTGGCTGTTAGTTTGAATATTTTTTACTCTATTTTATGGACATTTAATTGACTATATTTTGTAACTGCTGCGTGACACTATGTCCTCGACAGATACAGCAGATGAAGTCCAGAAAAATGTTTTTACTCCTTCTAAAAAGCGACCGAAAAAGGGACATTTGGTCATCCGTACTAAAGAAATGGTTCTTAATATTTATAAGCATTAAATTTTATAGAACCCTGATATGTTGGTACATGATGTTGAAAGGAGAGTTGCTGATAAAACAGGGATGTGCGCTAAAACCGTTTTTAATGTTATGAAGGAGTATAGGCAGATTCATAAATTTTCTGAACCAAAAAGAAAGCTACGTTATAAACAAATTAGTGGCTCTGTGGATGATTTTGATAAAAATGCAATAAGGCGCAAAGTACATCAATTCTTCTTTAGAAATTAACTTCCAACAATCGATAATTGACCCTTAATTTTAAATTTAAAACTCGAGGAAAAAATTTAGACAAAATTAAATTGTTTCGTCCTACGCCACAAAAATAAAACGATACAGAGAAGAAAAGCAAAAAATATATTATCTTGATGAGACTTGGATTAACGCAGGCCACACCAAATCAAAAGTATGTTTCGATATGTCGGTTTTATCATCCAGACAAGCCTTTTTAGATGAACTTTTAACTGGTTTCAAAAACCCATCAGGTATGTGCGTAAAAACAGCTCATTATATGCCATATTGGAAGTGAAGAAGGCTTTGTCTCTAATGCACTTTATGTATTTAAGTTGAAAAATCCGGTGACTACCATGAAGAAATGTGTGGAGAAGCGTTCAAAGAGTGGTTTTCAAACACCCTACCAAAATTAGAAGATAACTGCATTATTATTCGAGAAAGCTGGAAAAAATACCTACAACGACATCTAAAAAAGGTGATATTTAAAAATGGCTATAAGGGAAAAAAATTGAATTCGACTACCAAATGCTTAAGATCCAACTTCTAAAACTTGGTAAGCAACATAAACATTATAATAGGTATGTAATAGATGAAATGGCTAAGCAGCAAAACAACATAATATTAAGTTAATCTAGGTTGACGTTAAACAATACGTAGCAGATAAAAACTCAACATTTAAATCTGGAGACATTAAAATTCTTTTTGAAGAAGTAATATTATTAATTTCTCCAGAAAAATGGAAAAAGTGTATTGACCATGTTCGCCAAAAAGTTGAAGCAAAAATGTGCGAGTTGGATAATATTATAGAGGTTCAGGTAGAACCACTTGTAATTTTGATTAATGAAGATAGCCCTTCAAGTCTTACTAATTTATCCGATTCAGAATAGTGCTAAGTCAAGTAAGGAAGATTGCTATAATACAGGGTACAATGTGTCTAATCTAAATAGTAATAGTTTATTCATCAAAAAATATATAGTTATAAAAATACAAATGGTAGCTTAAAAATTAAAAGTTATTGAATGAATAAAGGTACACTCGATAAGTGAGTACTCACTTGTTTCGATTATAATACATGAAACTTAAAAAAAAGTACAATAAATTATTATTTAAAAACATTAATGTTGTAAAGATAAAAAAACACAAGATTAAAATATACAAATAACTAAAACTAAATTAACTAAAATTAGAATAAATAAAATAGGATAAATATATAAATATATAAGAGAAATTTAATTGATCCATTTTTATAATTAGAAGATTAAAGTGAATTTAAGGGAAAACGTGACAACCAAAATCTATATTATTGAGTGTTAAAAAAACAATTAATTCAAAAAACTAAAGCTGAGACTAGAAACAGACGCAAGTTAAGTATTTCTACATTCTATTATATCTTTAAATTTTTGTCCTGGATTTTCTAAAATAAATTTTTTAAGGCTTTTTTTCATTTTAATTTTACATTTAATTGTTTTTATTGATTCTGGTAGTTCATTATGTATCTTAGGAGCAAGATAGGTATAAGATCGTTGACTAAGTGATTTACTTACTTGTGGCACGATATGGAGATTTCTATTGCGAGTTTGATAGGAGTGAGAAGGTAAGTTAGCATGTTTAGTATTAAGTTGATTTTTTGAGCCATGCAGT